GAGCGAGTGAGCGAGTGAGCGAGTGAGTGAAGTGAAAGCGTCAAAACTGAAGAGAAGAAAATTGGGATGTGGGTGTAAAGAAAATGGGAGAAACAGAAGAGAAGATCAAAGGCAACTGTTTGTATTATTGTCGTTTTTTGGGTTCAAAAAACTGACAGTCTTTTGCAGCGACCATCACGGATTCACGGGAGCACTATTAGCACTCTGCATGAGAAAAAGAGAGACAAGAAATCTATCAGAAGAGGAAAAAAAAAACAAAAACCGCACTGTTTAGTGGGGTGATGGGATAGAAAAAAAGAATAATTTATCTTTAAGAGTGGTTAATTATTTAATTAAAAAAATTATAAATTAAAAATAAAGAATAAAAATCATAAATCATATACTTTTAAAAAGTATTTATCACAATGAGATATGGGATAGTTAGGGTGGTGCCACTAGGTTGTAATATTATGGGCTTTAATTCCCCAAATGTTTTGGTGACTAACATAATTTTTTTTTTTTAAATTTTATTTTAGTATCATCTGTTATATTAAAATTTGAGTTTGATACTTTACGTTTTTAAAAATTTTATATTAATACCTCGACCTTTTAGAATATTTTTTTTTAGTACCTCTGAGCCTTTTTTTGGGACACGAAAAGACAAAATTGTCTTTATTATAAAAATTCATCTGTTGACCAGAATTTTGAAGGAAAAAAAAGAATTTTAAAAATTATTATACTTATAGAGCATAATCTTTTTTTAAAAATTCATATCTTCAAAATCTATTTTTAAAATCAATTTTTTTTCAAAATTTTAGTCAACGAATGAATTTTTACAATAAGGATAATTTTATCTTTTTAAGTCCTAAAAATAGCTTCGAGGTACCAAATAAAGATTTTATAAAAAGTCATGGTATCGGCATTAAATTTTTAAAAATAAATAGTACTAAACTCAAATTTTGATATAATAAAGGATACCAAAATGAAAAATGAAAATTTCCCATTTTCTTTTTTATTTTTTGGCTTAATTACATCATTCCACCCTAAATTTATTCTGATTTGCGCTCTATAACTTTCAATTTTAACAACTTGCATTTAAATTTAAAAACGTGTAGCAAATCACTCCCGTTGATAACCACGTTTTTTTTTAAACGAAAATTGGCGTGTCACTTGGATACGGGACGGGTTGTTAATTAATAGCATTATTGATTTTTAAATTTAAGGTGTAAATTGTCAAAATTAAAATTCGTGTGTTAAATTGCAATTTTGTGATAAGTTCATAGGGCAACGATGCAACACATATTTTGTTGAAACAAAATAGACTACTCACTATTGTGATAGTCATGTCTATTTTGAATGTCATCGTACGGTGTTACATGAGTGTTGCACTCTATTTTCTCTACTTTAATGGGAAATTAAACGAAATATAATTAACATAATTATGACCTACTTCATATGGTTATGGCATGTGTAATACGTCCACTGATCAATTCTTTTTTTATTCAAGAAAAACACATGAAATTTTAATTACATAATTTAGAATATATATCATGTATTTTCAATAGACAATAAAAATTTTGAAAATTGAATATTCGTTTAAAAAATTAATTAAGAAATTGATTACTTAGGGTATTTATAAAAAAGATTTATTTGTTTATTGATAATTTTATTTGCTTTCTCTTTATTTAATCTCTTTGTTTTTTAATATTTAAAATAATTTTTAAATATAACTATTAAGGTATTTATACCATTTTTAACAATTTGACCAATTAAAATTCAAGGGACAATTTTGAAACAACTTAAAACATGAGTAATACCTTTTAGATTATCAAAATATATGGATAAGTAAATTATTTACTATGAGTAAATAATTTATTTGCAATAGCATATTATGGCCCCGTTTATTTAACCAATTTGAGTTTTACTACAGTAAAAAGCTCTCAGAAACAGTCACGTCTAATTTTATTTTTTTACTACAGTAAAAAACTCACATAAAATCACATTTCAACTCAAATTAACGAACTAAACAGACCTTATATTTATTTCAAAATATTTTATAACACGTTATTTACTTCAAACAAGTTTTTTTTTTTTTTTAACTGTGTTTACTGCAATTTTTAATGGGGAAATACAAAAATGCGACTTAAAGAATGTTACCTTTACATTTACGTTCGATGGCATAAATTCATCTCCGCTAAATATCTTACAAGATTTTTTTTTTCAAAATAAAAAAAAAAATCCGCTCTAATATCAAACCACCAGGTTTATCAAACCGGACCGTTTTGGCGGATATAGAAAATCAAATCACTTCAAGCATTAAGTTCCTTTTTATTATCTAGTTCTCTAGGTAATGCACAATGATTTGAATTAGGATCGTGGAGAATTGATGCAAGAGAAGAGAATGGCACAAAGAAAGTAGAATTCTTCTGGGAAATCTGAAAGTTTATCGAATTAGATTTACAAAACAAGGATGACAAAAAGTAACCTGGAATTTATCCTCATGAAAATGGACATCATCCTAATGCAAAAAGTTTTTGCTATTTATAAGTCGCAAGACGACTATAATAGATTATCTTAGTCGCCGCCTCCTGAGAATCGTCGACATTAGAGGTACCGCAGTTTGTGCTCTCATGTTGGGAGTGGACATCATCCTAATGCAAAAAGTTTTTGCTATTTATAAGTCGCAAGACAACTATAATAGATTATCTTAGTCGCCGCCTCCTGAGAATCGTCGACATTAGAGGTACCGCAGTTTGTGCTCTCATGTTGGGATGTAGATGGTTTAGAGCAAAGTTGTCTTAACGCTCTGACATCTCGTTGCAGTGTATCGATTTGTAGAGCCATCCTTTTTTGTTCTTCCTCCGTTTGAGCGTATCGATGCTCGGAGGGTCGACCGAAGAAGGATTTTGGAGTGACGGAATGTCCTACACCTCTCACCTGACTAGAATGTTCAGCAGTACCCAAAGCCATACCAAGGATATCATCGCGCCCTGCATTCGCTACAATGCCCTCCTGGACTAACTTGGTTAACTTATCCTGCAAAAATTGACACAACGGGGAAAAATGTGAATTATTATGCCGAGTATTTGTTACTGGTTTATACGGTTGTCTTACAATTTTATCAGCACATTCTTTGGCTTCTTTCTCCACATATTCTCCATTTTTGTTCTTATGACCTTCTTTCCATAAAATGCTTCTATCAATCTCGTCGGTCATTCCCAAAGAACGTTTCTATAAATTAAAAGCCAAAAAATTTAGTCAATTAAAAAAAAGTATAGGACTTTGTTCTAGTTGTATGTTGAGTGGTGATGAAATTAACTCATAGAAAAGTTGGCAAATGCTTACTAATTCTTCCTGGAGACGAGCAAACCCTTTCCGGCCTAGTCTGTGCTTGTATTTATTTTTGGTCCGCCTCTCTTTCTGAAGTTGACTGAGCTTCTGTAAAAGTTATAAGGTTGAAAGTAAATACATTATTGTGCTACAGAATGCTAGTAGTTAGCACTAAAACAATGAAATTCCGATACGTACAAGAAATTCCTCTGATAGTCTGGACCTTACGAACTCGTCCCAATGCTTTTGCTTGATGAAATTATAGTCTTTAGGTGGGTTTTTAAGGAGTTCCGGTTGATCCTTAAAAGGAACTATGTATTTAGTGGTGAGATAGCTCTTGAAATTTTTCCATGAACTTGAAGCTGAAGACAGGACACTGCTTTTGCTCTTTGGATCCACAATATATGTCCTCTGCAATCAAGTAAATCAAATTATAAGTTGATAAATATGGAAATATTGAAATGCAAATATGCCAAGCAAATATGTACCATCACATAGCTCCATATTTTGTCTTTCAGCTCCTTTGGCACATGAGCCCAGTTTTTGTACGTTATTGGGACTAGAGACCGACCCAAAACACCAAGATAGCTACTCATTTTCACTGAAGCTTTACCTATTGCTTGACCCTTACAATTGTATTTCACAACTTCACGCTTTACGCCATTACTTACAAGATGCAAAAGCTTTGTTGGACCTCTAACTTTCTTTTCCCTAGAAGTTTGGTTTGTCAGCAATGATCCTGCTACACTCTCTTCATTGTCCGTTTGCAAGATGTCTAAATGATCATTACTGTAAAATTGCATGAAACTAGAAATCAGAAGGTCAAGCAGGAGTATAAGCAACGGAGAAACACATTTTTACACGAAAAACCTCATAAATTTATATCTCAAAACCATATCCCTCTTTCAAGTTGAAAGAAGACGACTCATAGATCAAAATGCAGAATTTCACCACATTGACCAAAACCCTTGGAATTTCACCAAAAATCAACTGCTTCAAAACTTAGGACACTAAATTCCACCGTAATCATATGACAGACAGAAAGAATTTATACTACCATGCAGAAAAGTGTCTTAGATGTTAAACTTGATGAAATGAAAACGGTATTAGTTATATGAATATGTGTTCTTGAAGCTTCTTACATTCAGCACCCGTACGTTGTAAGTTATAACATACCACATCACGCTGCCCGAAGAGAACAAATTACAAAACTTATTCAAGAAAGAAACAACGTACAAAGCTCTACAATTTTTTTTTTCCTATTCCATGCACATTACCTGAATCTACAATTAACCACCCACTGAATTAAATATACAATTTCACTATATACCATAGAGAGGGAAAAGGACGCAAATTCTTACCTGCATATTGGCTCAATGAAAGGTTGAGGATGAAGACAAGTTTCCTCAGATTCATTCAGCTGTTCATCATCAAGAACCACTATTTCCTGCCGTTCTCGAAGCTCCCAATCTCTATCACTATTCTCACTACATTGAGCCTGATTTTGAAAGGAAGAGTTAGTTTCACATAGCCGTCTACAGAACTGGTATTGTACTAAATAATTTAGGAGTACATAAAATTGGTTAATAACCTTATCAGCACATTCATTATCTTCTTTTTCTACAAATCTTGCCTTTTTATTCTTGTGACATTTCTGTAGAACGCTTTTGTCCATCTCGTTGGTCATCCCCAAAGATTGTTTCTATCAATACAAGCCCACAATAAGTAACCTAATCAAATGAATAGAAATTTGTTTTAGTAGTATGGCGACTGATGAGTTCAACAGATAAAAGTTACAAATGCTTACTAATTCTTCCCTGAGACGAGCATACCCTTTCCGGCCTAGTCTGTGCCTGTATTTATTTTTGGCCTGCCTCTCTTTCTGAAGTTGACTGAGCTTCTGTAGAAGTTATAAGGTTCAAAGTAAATACATCATTGTGCAGCTAGTAGTTAGAACTAAAACAACAAAATTCTGATACATACAAGAAATTCCTCTGATAGTCTGAACCTTACGAACTCGCCCCAATGCTTTTGCTTGATGAAACTGTAGTCTTCAGGTGGGTGTTTAAGGAGTTCAGGTTGATCCTTAAAAGGAACTATGTATTTCGTGGTAAGCATGTTCTTGAAATTTTTCCATGAATTTGAAGCCGAAGAGAGAACACTACTTTTGCTCTTTGGATCCACAATATATGCCTTCTGCTAACACATATATCAAATTATAAGGTGATAAATATGGAAAAATCAAAATGCAAATATGCCAAACAGATAAATACCTTCACATAACTCCATATTTTATCCTTCAGCTCCTTTGGCACCTTAGTCCAATTTTTGTATGCTATCGGGACCAAAGACCGACTCAAAACACCAAGATAGCTACTCATTTTCACGGAAGCTTTACCTATTGCCTGACCCTTATTATTATATTCAAGGACTTCACGCTCTGCACCATCAAGATGCAACAGCCTTGTTGGGCCTCTAACTTTCCTTTTCCTAGTTGGGTGTGACACCAATGGCTCTGCTGGACTTTTCGATTGCAACATCTCCAAATGACTATTGCTGCATAATTCATGAAAATTGAAAGTCAGGCACAAGGAAGAGAATGGATACTAATAGTAAAAACTCATACATAAGGCAAGGCTCTAAAATTTTTGAGCTTCATAGCATAAAAGATTTAACCTTAAACATCATATAACTCATTGATCAAACTCCAAAACAACACCACGTTCGAGCAGTCCCCTTTGAATTTCATGAAACATCAAATGCTCCAAACAAATGCGGCTAAATTCACCGTTGTACTCGTGCCAAACAGAGTAAGAGAATATATAACCAAGCAGCAGTAAAGGATAATAGACAGATTAAAGTTTGATGAAATGAAAATGGGAATAAAGTTCACGTAATTGGAGATGTTTTCTAAGCTTCTTACAATCAGATTTAACTAGATCACCATGTACATAAGTAAAATTATAAAAATTATACACAAAAAGGACAGTCAAACTAACATTTCTTTTTTTTTGGTGGTGTCGTTTATATGTTAATTACACACATTGGTGTATATAACCATATGCTGCATTTAACACACAATTTCAGCACATACTCAAAGGTAAGGGGATAGAAACTCTTAACACTATCCTGCTGTCCGATGAGCATGGAATCCGTATCGCTATCCTCGCTGCACTGTGCCTGGTCATGAAAGGAAGAGCTACTTCTGCTTAACTGCATCTCCTTATTAGCTAGAGAAGTAAAGTGACAAGCAATGTCCTTTCTATTCTTCTCACATCTTTCCCTCGATTTATCGAGGGAAGATTGCTTTTCAACATAAGGCTTACAGTCTTCGCAGAACCAAGCAACATATTCATCAAAAGTTTCTGGTAATACATCAAGACAATATCTGGAGGAAGAAAAAAAAAAAAAAAACAGAACAAAAATACCCATCATTCAAGAAGCCATTTTATTTCAACAAAAGAAATGAAACAAGAAACTAATATCCCAGAAACGTTGTAATTAATGCATGACTATGTGGACCCCTTCAGTTATATACGGAATCAAATCACCTCTCCATTAGACTATGTTACATATATTGTGATCAAACGTCAAAAGATGGAAGAATCAACTAAAAAGCATTTTAAATATTTTAAATGGCATAGCATAATATGATTGTATGATTGGTTAGATAACAAAATTCGACGGGTGATCTGAATCCATTAAATAAGAATCTCTATTTTCACTTGAAATACACCAAAAAGAGAATTTAGCACGTGTTGTATGTGGCATTTGAATGAGCAAATCATCAGTTTATTTTTATTTTGATAGTTCAATCACACGATAATCTTGACACACACCGATGCACGGCATAATCTTGACACTTCTCGCAGTGAATAAAACTCATAGAGAACCCTACATCACCACAAGTTTGACAGACAGTGACCTGCAAAAACAACAACAACAAAAATAAAAATGCAGTTATTCAAAATCCAAACCCAACAAAGATTTCTGAATTCCAAATAAAAATAAAGTTAAAAATGCAATTATTTTTATGAGAAAAAACACAAGATAAATCAAAATGTCAAAAGGGTCAACAGAAGCATACCATTGTAGAAAAGAAACTCAAGAGTCAAAGGGTTAACTTTACCATGAGAATAAAAGGAGAAGCTAATTTTGTACAAAGGAGTCTAAAACAGTAAAGAAAAAGAAAGAGAAACAACCGTGGAGTTTTTCGTCCATTTCATCGGGTGAGGGATTAGGGAAGGTTGAGTTGCATCGCTGATGGCCACGTGTCATGATTGTTCATGTCCCAGCTGTCAAACAAGTCTGCAAGAGAAAAGGCCAAGTGAATACTCCTTTTTTTTGGATTATTTTCATTGTGCTCCCTCAACTTTAAGGTAATTTACACTTTATGCCCTGAAATTTAATAGCTCTCAAATTTACCCTCTGAAATTTAAATTGAGTTTGAGAATTTATATTCTAAACAAACGAAGAATGGGGTTAAGCAAGTTCATGAGATCTTTTGTTTTTCATTTGCTTTCAACGTAAATTTTAACAGAAGAGTTTGAGTGAAACTAATTCCTATTTTTTTCATCATTTTTAACAAATTTTAATAAAAGTGGTTAAATAGGACTAATTTAAAATTTAAATGCAAAATAAAATATTTTAAAATTCATGCAACTAATTGAGAAGGACTCTAAATTAACAACCAAATGTGGTCATATATATATATATATATACACACATCTAAAGAGGAGAGGATCTAAAATAAGAGAAAACATTTAGTGGATGGAATGTACCATGTTATTTTATTTATACGGTACGATCATTCAATAAATGTATAACATTTGAATACTTTATTTACGTCAGTTTTTTATAATTATGTTTTTCCTTCATAATTTGCATTGCATGAATTGTTGCCAAAATTACTATAATGATTCTACCTAATTCTCTTGAATTAATTTTTTTAAGTGACTTCCTCTTATATTAAATCGAAAAAATATCATTTTTGGTTCGACTTTAATTGTAAAAATTTTTAAGTTCAATATCAATTGTTAAGAAAAAAAAAGAATAAGAACTAAATTATTAAATTTAAAAATTTGAAGGGTGTCCATAAACAAAAAGCCTTTTAAAAATCACCTTCAGGACAGTAGGTTAGTCCATATTTTATGTAAAAAATAATAATAATAAAATTTAATTAATTTAAATTAAACTAAAAAAAAAACTCAGTTTTTTGTTCTGGTTCTGACAGTATGCTGCTATAAGCTTGTAATTCTTTGGGGTGTGCTGAGAGATTTCTAAGTTTTCTTTACTTGGGGTGTGAGAATTATCAAGAGCAGCTAACTTTAATTTCCATGACTTCTGAAATCCAAATCAGAGATACAGATAGATTTAAGGAAAATGGAAACCGTAGCTACATGAATGTAGCTTGTTATTTATGCTCACCCATTAGAACCTTAGAACACTAACAAAAAGTTTGATCCATAATTTGATAAAAATGATACTGATCACATAATTTGACACAAATAAAATGTGGTTCCAAATGGATCAAAGTAAGCTCAAGAAAGAAAAAAAAAAAGGCGAAATTGTTATGAAATCGTCGTCTCTAAAACGGTAGTAAGAGGTAACTTAATACACAATTTTCTCAGCAAGAACTGAGTAACAGAAAGATGGTGTAAGAGAGTTAAGGCAAACCATCCATTAAAGAACTGTAATCTTGGAAACGTTTGAGTTGAGATTTGATACTGCCAAGCATACAATTATTTCTCTCATTTTCTGCAGACAGTGATGCAACATGGCTCTCCAATGACTCGAACTTCAGACCGCAATTTCATCAGCTCGGTTCTCTTCAAATCTAGACTCGTCGTCTTAAGTTCAACGTTCTTTGCTTTGTTATCTCTCTCATTACAAACCCTTTGCTAGGATCCATATCATCTTTCCTTGAAGCTAAAGAAAGCATGAAAGAAAGAATAGAAGAAAATATTGTTAGCGTTATAAATCCAACTCATAACTCGCCAGTATTAATTAAGTTGGTGCTTAGGATAATCCAGATTCTCGAATGGTCCAACTTCAATAAATAGACCAATCATAGAACTAAAAATTCGGATAAATCTTTGTTATTTCATGTTTATTTGTCAGAAAAATCATAAGACCAATCATTTACTTCGTGATACTGATTCCTATTGATTACTGTGTATCAAACGCCTTTTTAAAGATTGTATGACCATCATTCGGATAATTCAGACTTTGTACTATATCTTTAATTAATATACTCATCATGGACATATAACAGACAATATATCTGCATTTGCATGATTAAAAAAATGAATTTATTATTAGGACTCAAAAAAAAAAAGCGTGATCAGCGCATCTCTTTTATTTATTTATTTATTATTTTACAAAATAAGCACACAATTTTTACATACTTCATTTTTTTTTTTTCTCATCATCAAATATTCCAAAAGTTTTTTGTACGTTTAGCAAATACGACACAATTTTATTCCGTCGTGAACGTAACTTTTATAAGACACATTTTCATCTCAATTTTATTTATCGACACAATTTTAATACGGCACATTTTCATCTCAATATGAAGACGTTATTTACCCCCCAAAAAAAAAGGGGGAGGAACAGAAAAAGGACAAGCATTTTTCATTTCTCAATTCTCATTAGTCTGCCGAAATACATTTTTCTCTTCAAGGTGAGAAAATGGAAAAAATAAAAAAGATCATGTACAGAGTTGTTTTTTTTTTTTTTTTAATCTGAATGTATAGAGTTGTTTTCTTTCCTCTGTTTGTGCTTGAACCAAGAAAAAGAAAGAAATAGTATGGTCTCTCTGTAACTGGCTAACTGCGCTTAGAAGAATTTTGGTCACCGAAATGCCATGATGCATTCAGATCATTGAAATGGGGATTTTGTTTTCTCCCTCCAGAATCCTTTTTCTCTCTCATGTGGAAAAACTATCACAAGACTGTCAAACGCAAAAAAGGAAGATTAAAAGAAAAAAATCCAACGGTCAAGAACACCCCAGTGACTTCATTGTCACTCTTTTCTTCCCTCTTCTTCTTTTTTTTTTTTTTTTTTTCCTTCCCAGAAAAGTTTTTGATTTTCACGTTTGGTTTAACAATGAGTATGTCTTCACCTCATTCTCTGCCCATGTGGGTTATTTTCTCTCTCTTCTTTAACCTTAACTTTCTCTCTGCAAACAACAACATCACCCTCTTCGGTGATGCCTACTTCAGAAACAACTCCATTTCTCTCACTCAAGAACTCGCCCCTTGCCTCTCCCCTTCTTCTCCTTCTTCTCCATCTTTCTCGCCTTTCTTCGGCATTGGACGAGCATTCTACGTAAACCCGATTCGGTTTCTTGATCCTTTCATCAACACCACGTCATCTTTCTCTTGCAGCTTCACCTTCTCAACCATCCCTTCCCCACTCTGCTCTCCAGGGGACGGCATGGCGTTTCTCATCTCCCCTCACGCCGCCGATTCCTTCTTCAGCGACGCGATAGGCAACATCGGGCTTCCAAGACCAGCCTTGACAGTTCAAGATTCGTTCTTTGCCGTGGAATTTGACACCAGTTTCGATCCTCTGCTCGGGGACGTCAACGGGAACCATGTTGGGATTGATATCAACACGGCGGTTTCGATTGCTGCGGTTGATGTTGTGCCGAGAGGGATAGATTTGAGAAATGGAAGAGAGATAACTGCTTGGATTGAGTACAGACATGCCATGAGAATGGTCAGGGTTTGGGTTGGTTACTCTTCAATAAGGCCTCCAAATCCTCTTCTTGTTGCTCAAATTGACCTCTCAAATGTGTTGAAGGAGTTCATGTTTGTTGGGTTCTCTGGCTCTAATGGTCAAGGCTCTGCAGTTCATATTGTTGATAAATGGCGGTTCAAGACTTTCCAACCCTCACTTGTTTCTATAGACACTTTCGAAGGAGATTGTTTCATATGTTCTTCAGAGGATTCAGCCATTGGAAGTCATAGAAAAAATCGTCTTCATGGAAGGAAATTGAAGTTAGGAGAGATTGCTCTTGGGTTAGGAGGCTTGGTTGCATTTGTCTTCTCAATTTTGGTGATTTTTGCTGTGATGAGTTTCATATTGATAAAGAAGAGAAAACTTGTTGACAAAACCAGAATGGAGAGTTTAGCTTGCAGGATTCAGCCTAATAGAATGCCAACAAGGTTGTCTCTTGCCGATATTAAGTCGGCTACGATGGGTTTCGATCAAAACCGAGTTGTTGGGGAAGGAGCATCCGCAATGGTCTACAAAGGATCGCTTCCATTTGGTGGAGAAGTTGCTGTCAAGAGATTCCAACGAGGCAATGGAGTTGACTCTTTGCATAATCCTTTCACTAATGAGTTTGCTACAATGGTGGGTTGCTTGCGGCACAAGAATCTGGTTCAGCTTCGAGGATGGTGCTGTGAGGGAAGTGAGTTAGTCCTTGTTTATGAGTACATGTCCAATGGAAGCCTTGACAAGATTCTCCATAAGAAAACCAACTCAGCCATTGTTCTCTCATGGAAGCAGAGACTAAACATAGTTCTAGGTGTTGCTTCTGCTCTTGCATATCTGCATGAAGAGTGTGAGAGGCAAATTATCCACAGAGACGTTAAGACTTGCAACATAATGCTTGATGCAGAGTTCAATGCCAAACTTGGGGATTTTGGTCTAGCAGAAGTGTATGAGCACAGTACTAACACAAGAGATGCAACCATACCGGCTGGGACAATGGGATACCTTGCTCCAGAGTATGTCTATTCTGGCGTGCCAACAGCAAAAACAGATGTATATAGCTTTGGTGTGGTGGTTTTAGAGGTGGCAACAGGGCGGAGGCCTGTCGATGAGGGTGGAACGGTGCTAGTCGATTGGGCATGGGAGTTGTGGGAGAAAGGAAAGCTGATTGAAGCTGCAGATGCAGGGCTCAAGGGAAAGACTAGTTTGAAGGAGATGGAGAGAATGCTCATTTTGGGACTCGCCTGTGTCCATCCAGACCATGTTCAGAGGCCGACGGTGAAAGAATCTGCAAGGATTCTTAGAAGGGAAGCACCACTTCCCTTGTTGCCAGCAAAGAAACCAAGACTCAGGCTTCGGCCGGTTTTGCCTAATGATTTTGAAGAAGTGATGAGTTATTTGGACGGGGAGCATACCAGTCCTTATGAATCACCATTTTTTACTCCTAAAAGCAATTTTAGCTAGAAGAAATCCCTTGTATAGAACATTGTTTATATTTTGTCAGGTTGGCTATGGCCTTCTTAGTTAAGCCAATTCATGAAGAATTTTGAGGATATGTTTTGATGTCATATTGCAATAAGGAAAAAAAAAATGGTGTCTGTGCTTTACAGTATATATTTTTATTCTGCATGTACAAGTGCCAAACAAAACATACAATACAGCACCGTTTTATGAAACAGGAAAATTACTGGAAAATCATATTTCCAATCACACTCATGACACAAGCAAAACAACCAATCTTACCCTTCTCAGATTGAAACCGTCTAGTTATACAGCCTATAACTATCATTCCTCAACCGTTTCTCCAGAAACAAAATGGAAAAAAATGACTCGTCAGTCCTATCTTTCACCAGTAGCAAATGCAAAAGAAAAGGGCGGCTCTGTTTTTCATATCAACAACTACTCTTGAAAGAATCTTTTTATTTGGTGCTAACGATTTAATAACTATTTTTGCAGCTCTATAATATTTCAGTTTATACTCCTACCGATTATCTATATGTACCAAGAAAGATGAACGGTCTAATAAAACTACTACGAAATACTTGCTCATAGGTGGGGCAAGCAGTTCTATTCTGATTCATGTTTTCTCTTGGCTGTATGCTTCATACGGAAAATGACCTGTACTGTTATCTTATAATAAAATAGAATTATTTCGTTTTGAATATGGGATTATAACTTAAAATTTTGTAAGTTTATACCCATAGTCTGACACAGAATCTCACAAACTATAAAACTAGCAGCCACCCTTGGGCCCTGGCATATGACAATCATAACTCAATTTACTAAACGGTATTCAGTAGTTATACTTCAGCAAGGCTACAAGTCAATCTTTCATAGTCAACAAACCTGTTAAAATAATGAACCAAAAATCCAGAATATAACGATCATAAAGGGGACTAAGTTATCTGCCCATTATTGTGTACATTATCCGACAAGCAAAACATTGACAATTATTGAAGAGTGTAAAACATCTAACAAATGCAATCTTCAATTGGTTAAAATCCGAACAGAAGAAATCCAAAAGGTATAGAAGATAAAAACAAGATTTCACCAATGAAATCCAGAAGCAATCATGGCTACAAAACAAGAATGAAGATGGAGCAAAAACACAACTCTCGGAACTCCTCCAGCTTAATATCACCTCAGCAATATAAATTACTCTACAACAATATGAACATTACAAAGATGAGCACGAACATCATGAAATGGGGAAAAAAAATGTGGCAAATACATTACATTTAACATTTCCCAAACATTAGGAAAAGCCAAATTACAGAATAGAGTATTTTTGTGTGCATTTGTTACTCAAAAAACTACAAAATCTCCTCTCAAAAGGGTTGAAACAAAATGAGCCAGAATGCATTTATGTTATATAGAAATCAATGGCTAATAGCCATAATACCAAATCAGGATGTATCCAATTCCAATCGAATCTGAGCAACTAAACAATAAAAATTTACAAATTACAAAAGAGAGTAATTTTAAGTGGGCATTTTTTATTTCAAATAACAGCTACAAAATCTCCTCTCAAAAAGGATTCCTAAAACAAAATGCGGCAAATATATCATAGGATCATATTCAACGTTACATAGAATTAGAAGTCAATGGCATTACCAAATCATGAGGTATCAACATTAACAACAGCCAGCCAACTCCCGCAACTCCTTCTGCTTAATGTACTGATTCAATATCGCCAGCCTCGCCGTCTCGAAGGCAAAGTATCCAATGGCCGAGAAGCAAGCGCTGTGAACAACTCTGGGGCCCATGCCACGTGTCAGCCCGACCCATCCTTCTTCTTTGAGGATCGCCTTCGCCGTCTGCGAGACACCGGAATACATGGCGGGAACCATTTTGTTGACCCCTTCCTGAGTCATCAGCCTCGTCTTCACGACGTCCAGCGGCGTCGTAATGGAGGCGGAAATCGCCCCGGCGAGGGCCCCACAGACCACGCTCTGAAATGGTTCCAAATAGGCTTTCCTCGTACGACTCAAAACGGCGGCTTTTAGGTACTCAAACGTCGAGTAGCTCAAAACTCCGGCGGGTAAATTCCTCAGCAGCGTGGCGGAGTAACCGGCGTAGAGGCCCAAAACGCCGTCGTTTTCGAGGATTCGTAGAAGGACCTGCCAGGACCTGCCTTTGGCTCCCGCTTGCATTCGCTGGGTGATTAGCTCCTTCGGGACCATAATTGCCGAAGAGACGATATTGCCCATGGCGCCGGCCGTGGGAGGGATGAGGAGGGGAGGGTAATTGGGTAATTTGGAGAGGAAGGATTTTCCGAACTCGCAGGTGCCAAAGTAGACGGCGGAGGAGGCGGTGGAGCCGACGATGACGGCGGAGACGCCGCTGTAGAAGCCCAGGATTCCTTTGGTCTGGAAGGTCTTGGCGATGGCGTCGAAGGCGTTGCGGTAGATCTCGGAGGCGCCTTTGGTCTGAAGCTTGGTCTTGACGGTGTCGAGAGGGAGGAGGCAGACGTAGGTGAAGGCTCCGGCGAGGCCGCCGGCACCTGCGCCGATGACGGCGCGCTCGAAGACGGAGAGGGATTTCATGAGGGAGCGGACTTTGGGGGCGGAGGATCTGGCCGTGGCCGTGACTGTGGCGGTGGAGGTCGAAGCGAATGGGAGAGTGGAGAAATTGCGAGAATGGGAGTAGTCCATGGCCGAGGTTGTGGTTATGGCGGTGGTGAAGTGGGTGAAGAGGTTGGGGAAATGTGAGGGGCTTGGGAGAGGAGGAGGAGAAGATGATGACGGGAGGCCTAGAGAGGCAGAGATTCTGGTTTCCATGGCTGAGACTTAGAGAGAGAATCCCTCTCTCTCCTCTCCCCTCTCTCTTTGACCTTCGCTAACTATGAACATGGAAACAGGGCTAGGCCGGCCCGGCCTACTTTCTTTTCTGGGCTGACAGGGCCCTGTCCAAGTAAATGGGAGGTGGGTCCCGCTCGGCCAAAAGCCCAACGAGCTCGGCCGGCCCCAAAATTGAATTATCTCAAGTGCATAAGCTCAGTTTTTATCCCATTTTTTATAAATATTCTTTTGTTACATGTAATTATTAAACTAAAATAGTTATGAATTACAAATAAATAATAAAAATTTTGACATGTACTTTTAAAGGGTATTTATTAAGATTACTTTAATAAAAATGAGAAAATTACATATTCTACCTGTTTAAGTACCTGATCTATTAAAAATATCACTTTTAAAAAACTCGACCCCTTGACTAGTTCTAGTCTAAAAAGTAAAAATATATAGGTTAATATTAAGAAATAGAAATAAAATGGGACTCCATTTCAAGGGGTATTTTTAAAAATTATCTTGTAAAATTTCATACCTTGAGTTGAAATTTAGAAAAAATTTTAAAATATCATAAATATAGCAAAAATAACATAATAATTATCATAATAATATCATATTTTGTACTATACAATGATATAGTCATTATTTTAATGACATAACAATGATACAAAATTTTGTTGTTCTTGTAATATTTCAAAATTATCGTTAAATTTAAACTTTGATATTAAAATTTTGCTATAGTGTAAATCACAATTTTTTAAGGAGTTTAAGAAATAAATAAACTAAAAAGGCTAAAAAAAAAGGGAAAATACTTAAACATCCCTTGTGTTTTATTAAAATACCACTATCACCCTTTTTATTATATAAATACCCAAAACACTACTTGTTTCTAGTGCTGGAACTTTAGATAGGCCCCCCGCGACCGCCCAAAAATACCAATTTTGTGCCCGATGCCCGACTCGACTTGCCTGAAATTTTTGGGCCGCCCTCCCGAGCCCGAGAAGGCCTGTGGACAGGCCGCGGGCCTGGTTGTAGCTGCCCAAGCCCGGTCGGGCAACCTGAGCACACTTAAAATGCCCAAAAAAATATTTTTTTTATATTTTTTAATTTTTATAATTATTAAGTTATTTTGTGTTAAAATTATATAAAAACTAAAATCAACATTCAACACATAATAGTAACACAATTTAATAAATTAATTTTGTATATTAATTTTTAAATTCGTAATTCATGATTGCCTCGTTAAAAACCTTACCAAGAAAAACTCAATTGGGCTAAAAACTTAGTAAGGAAAAAAGAGTAATTATTTTGTGACGAATTACAAATTTTATAAACTTACAAAGTCTAAATGTACAATTACAATGTCGAAAGCAAATACATATTTACAAATTACAATTTAATTTGAAGTTGAAGGATCGTCTTCAAAATTAAATGTTAATCTATTAAATTTATCGATCAATTCTTGACTTGCCGGTGAAATTGTATCCTGTAAACGTTGATCAGCACGATCTCAATCCTTAATGCAGACCGAGGCTTCAACAATGTCCCTTTGCAATGCATTTTGGCGTTCCTCAAGTATTCGTCCGATCGTATTGAAGGCTTGTTCGGATGAAACAGTAGAGACTGGAATCGAAAAAATATCCATTACCAATCGAGTTTGGATTGGCCAAGTTAATGCTCGTGCCATTTACCATTGAACTAAGTCAAACGATTCTCTAGTACCGTCGACTACTAAGCTCTCACTAAGGTATGCCATAAGCTTGTTGAAGCCGCTGCCACCTGTTGATGAAGATCCACTCTTAGCTTTTGTTTGAGTCGTCTTCTTCTTCTTCTTCAATCCGGAAACATTCAAGAATGAATGCGGGTTTTCATCTTATTGTTGTAGTTTTTGTACTCCAGAGTTTGTGTTTCTAAACCTATTCTCATATTTACTATAGATCAAAAATATTTTTGCCTTTATTGTTGGAAATTGGTCAAAACAATCAATGCCTAACAATTCACCTAAGTTTTCTAAACCGTCTAATTTTAATCTAGGATCAAAAATAATACCGAACCTATACAACAAAGGCAAGTTAGACCAATATTTTTTAAATTTCTTTTCCATAGAAGCGATAGGAACTCCTAAGATTGGGTCCGCCCTATATTCACTAAATAAAATACTAATTTTTAAAAGTTCACCTAAAGCTAAAGGTGATGTTGAGTAATATGTTCCACTAAGTTTTCATAAAACCTACTTAAAAATTGATACAAAACTTCAACAATTTACCAATCATATGCGTCTATGTCTTGTTCTTAATTTTACACAGATATAGTTTGTTATAGCATCCTTTGTAGGGGATGCATTGTTAAAGCATAATATAAGTTGAGTTCCATCTTACAAGCAGATCTAAGGCTAATGCTCTAGGAGGTAGATTTAATGCTTATAAGAACCTAAACCAATATTGTTCTCTTTGGTTACTACCTTGAATCCATGCAATACTATCTCTAATTCTTTTAATGTGAGTACCCATTTCTTTTAAACCGTATTTAACTATTAAATTAATTAGAGGCATGCACAATGTTGGTGGAAAATAGTACAATCACCGAATAAACTTAAATCATTTTTGAAGTACTCAATTGCTTTAGTATTTGCACTAGCATTATCTAATGTTATAGCCATTACTTTATCTCGTAATTTAAATTCATCAATTACATTTAAAATTATATTATATATTAAATCGGCGCTATGTGATCCTAAAACACATTTAAAACATAATATTCTTTTATTTAAATCGAATCCTTTAAAGTAATGTCCGGTTATAGCTAAATAATCTTTATTAGCAACGGCATATCAAATATCTGTTGTTAACGCAACGCAATCGCTAGTCAAGTGTAAAAGGTTTATTAATGCTTCTTTTTCTTTTTTAAATAATTTTAACAAATATATCCTAATAGTAGTTTTTGAAGTGAACTGTGTATTAAGATTATGTGCAAATTTTATATATCGTTGCTAATTAGGATGCTTTACAAAACTAAGTGGTTGATCTAATGCAGCTATCATTCGCGTAACTTTCATACGATCTACTTGCAGATCGTATTTCCAAGTGGTTAGACCACCGGTTGCACAATCAAAAGATAATTGTGTTTCACGGAGTTTGGCTCCGCCAGACTAGCTAAGCTTTTGAAGACACTTTTCGGAGTGTCTTCTCAAGTGTGTTGTGCCGTGAATAGTGTCACCTTGTAATTTAGATAAACAATATTTACACTGAGCTATATGTTTAGTGTTACCTTCATTATCGATCTCCTCAATTGTGTCGAAGTGATCTCAAACTATCGAGGTGCGCTTGCATTTTCTCCTGGAGGTTACAACACTTGCAGACGCAGTAGCACTTGCACTCGCCGCTTCTCCACGCCCACCACCATTGCGACCACGACCTCCAATACGTCCACCGGGGCTCGGATTAGCATATTCCTGCATAATAAATTCATTAGTAGGAAATTGCCCTTCTTTCACATTGTGTTAGGCATCAACGGAAATACCACTATAACCAAAAGAATCCACTATAAAAAATAAGAGCGATTTGAGAGAGAAAGCTTTAGGATATTGTGGTAGTTTTTAGAAAAATTGTGAGAGATATTTAAGAGATTGAGAGAGATTGAGAGAAATTGAGAGAAATTGAGAGGGATTGAGAGAGTTTGGGTGAGAAAAATGTGTGAAAAATTAATGGGGGGTATTTATAGGGAAAATTTTAGGTTAAAATATTGATTTTTTCCCCAAATTCGGATCTAATGGTTAGTTTTTTCTCGGGGGGGTCGGGTTCGGGCAACAGTCAAAAAAATTGCCGTTGGATTCGGACAGTTCGGGTCGGGTCTGCACCAACAGTCAAAAATATATCCGTTGGTTGGGTTCAGGCTTCGGGCCGTTCAGGCCTAAGTGAAAAAATTCAAAAAAATTTCGGCGGACGGCAGTTAACGGCGATAGGCTCCGGCGAGTTGTCCATTTTCAGGCTGCCCAAGCCCAAGCCCGAAAAATGGAGTTGAATGGGCTGGCATTTGGGCCTGCCCTCTAAGCCTGAAAAATTCGGGCTTCGGGCCGGCCCGCCGGCCCAAAGTTCCAACACTACTTGTTTCTTTACAAAAAGATACCTAAAACGCCCCTAAAGCAAATATCAATCATAATCAAATTCAAAATCCAAGTATCACCATTTCATCAAATATCAATCGTAATCTAAATAAATGAAACTTTTTTTTTATAATAAAATACCAATTCAAATATTAGAATAAATCATTAACACGTCCGTTCATATGTAGCCAGTTGTTTTACTTTGGTTATAGTGATACAAAATGTATTAGTCAATTATATATTTTTTGCTTTTTTCTTTCCGCGTAGAAAACTGGAAGTCAATTAAAGCGTTACGTTGTTGCGCTGAAATTGTAATGTATATTCCCATTGTTTTAACGTTATCTTTTATTCAGCTTCAAATGTCAATGTTTAGAAAACAAATATATGAAATCGCTCTCAAGCTTATCGAACCTACATCATGAACGTTATTATCAACATTTTTTAACATATCTTGAGAGAGAAAGAATCAAATAATAAACCACCACGATATTTGAGGCTCACCTACTATATTTACCATAGATTAATTTATAGCCAATATTTGGCAACTTGAAATTAAAAAGTATAGGAAAGTCAAAGTTGGAATTTGGATGTGGTTTAGAAAAAGGGGGAATTTTAATTATATTTCAGAGTAAAGATTAATCAGTGGAACATAATAGAAGCACATAATAATATGCCAAAGAATTGAATTTTATGCAAGTGACACAATTTTGATATCGAAATTCTTTTTTTTTTTTTAATAACGATTTCTAAAACCTAAGGCTGCAAGAATAGGTACGTTAACAACAGAACTTTCTTCAAAAACATCATCACTTTATGAAAAAAGACACAAAATTAGCGATGGTATGTTGTTGCTGAAAGATTACTCACAAAAACTCGCTATTTAGCGACGATATGTCATTGCTATGTGTTCAATAAAAAAAAAATGGCAAAAAATTG